TTAAGTAGTTTAGTTAGGGTCAAGTAAAGGAATAACATGTGTTAAACTGAGATTGTTTTTCTTTCCCTAGTAAATATGAGCTAAGAGAAGAAAAGGAACCAAGTGACTTTAACAGTGAGTGTGTATAGTTTCCTGTTGCTGCTATAACAAATTATCACATACTAAGTGGCTGAAAATACCACCAGTTTATAATATTACATTCTGGGGGTCAGAGTCCAAAACAGGACTGACTGGGCTAAAATCAAGGTGTCAGCAAAGCTGTGTTTCTTTCTAGAGGATCTGGGGAGAATCTCATTCCTTCCCCTTTCCATCTTCTAGAGAACACCCACTTTCCTGGGCTCATGATCCACCTCCAACATCTTCATAATATTGAAAGTCCTATCTCTTGACCACACCTGTAGGGAGATGGCACTCCTGCATAGGGGCTTCTCTTTGGTGAGCACCCAGAGCATGTTCTAGCTGTGGCACAGTGACTAGGAGGCCATCAAATGTTCAAGTCACTTCCTGTGGGGGAAAGAGGGAGTAGGTCTCACTTGAGAGGAGAAATCTTCCATTATCATCAGCATCATAGCAGTATAACACCTGGCCATAAGGGCAGAAATCTCATGTGAAGCCACTGAGAGGATACAAAGGAAGAAAGGAAGGGTGATAGGAAGGCCCTTGGTAAACAGTCAGGTACTGGGCAGGTGGAAGAGAAACGGCACTAATGATGATGATGATTCCAAAGCCCCTTGATTCATTTCATGAATATTGTCCAAACACCTCCCTTGTGCAGAGCCCCATGACAGGTGCCATGGGTGTTACAAACTTGAGGAAGGTCTTGACTTTCACCCTAAAGGGGCTGTGCTTTTCTAGAGGAGTTAAACCATGGCCACACATAATTCAGGATAGTCTGGGTAAGGGGAAGCAGACACAGAATAGAAGGCTGCTCAGAGGTGGCAAGTTTTGAGCCAGACTGTACAGGAAAGATTTGAATTGGTCTTTCAGGGGTGTTCCCTAACATCCCCAACATTAAATAGAACCCACTTCAGGTTGTGTGGTTCGAAGCCACACCCCTCTCCCATTCTGATCTGGATGATGGATTTATTAATGGAAAAGACTTGGCCACTTATGTTGACTGACAGAAGAGTAGGGTTAGAAAAGAGAGAAACTTTCCCCAAGAAAATCTGAAATCTTGTCTTGTGCCAATTACCCAGCTTGGAAATAATCATGTAGGTGATCTTGAGGAGATCAAATGGGTGAGATGGATGGACATGGAAGAAAAGCACCAACTACACACCAGAAATTGGGAGTATGACCACCTGGATGGGTTTTCATCCCCAGACTATCTCAGGTAGATGACTGAGGCTATGGAATCCATCCCATGTATCTAGGTTACATACCTGTCATAAAGAGAACACACATGTGGGAGCTGAGAGGCCATTTTCCCTGTTTCACTTCAGGGAGTTTCATGAAGCTTCCTGAAGGTACACCTACTCAGTTTTCTCTTTCTCCTTTGTTAGCTAGTGCCAAACTTTTCCCTTTCCAGGGTCTTGGGACCACCTTCAACCATATGGGGAAATAGTTTGATCCCACAGTGAAGGAACCATCTGTTTTGGGATCTTCTATACTTCTTCACAATACCTTGTTATATGACAATCCCAGTGTCCAGTCCTACCTACTAACACAAAGAAGAGAATCCAGGTGTGTCCTTCATTGCCAGAGACTTTAATATTGACAGCAAAATCAATTCAGTGTTTAGTCCCACTAATCAGTGCAGGAGGAAACTGGAGAGGAAATGATTGAGTATAAACTAGACTTTTGGCAAACATTTCAGAACACTGACATTCTATGCAGCCAGCAAGACTTAGTTTCCAGAGATCCTAAACAATCCCCTCTCCCAAGGGGCACAGGAATAACAAGGTATAAAGCACAAGGATGTAGACCATGAACAGTTCTGTTATATTTAGATTTCTTCAAGCAAGCAACAAACAAATCAAAGTTCTAAGGGGGCATTTCATTGATGCATGGAATACACAAATAAATTTGATAAGTGAATAAATGTATGGTTAAGTGAATAGTTAATTAGTTTAGATAGGAGCTAAAGAGTATGGGAAGGCACTCACCAGGGGAGTGGGGAAGAAATGAAAGCACACAGAGGAGTATGTGCTTGTATGGAATACAGAAAGTCCATATAGTAAAGATTATTTGTAGTAATGATTAATTATCAATGATAGTAATTATGGCCCCCAGCTGCTTTCCAGGTCCATTTGCCACTCTCCCCTACAGAAATAATTTCATGCCTCTGACAGGTAGGTGACATGCATGGGCACACATATCCAAGTACTGTATTTATCAGAGCTCTCCAGCAAAACAGAAGAATATATATATATATATATATATATATATATATATATGATAAGGTTTGTATATTATATATAATATGTATTCTATAATAAGATATGCATAAATATGGTAATGGATTGTGAAGTTATGGAGGTGGACAAGTCCCATGATCTTCTTTCTGCAAGCTGAAGACCCAGGAAGGAAGGTCAGTGGTGTAGTTTAAAGGCCTGAGAACAAAAAAACCAATGGTGTAGATCCAGTCTGAGTCTAAAGGCCTGAGAACAAGTAGTGCAAAGAGCAAAATTTCAGTGTTCCAGTTAAAGTAGTCACACAGAGAGAATAAATTCTCCATTATCTACCTTCTTGTTGTATTCAGGCCCTTGATGGATAGGATGATGCCTACCCACATTGAGGAGAGCAATCAACTTTACCTACTCTATTGATTTCTGGAAACATCCTCACAAACACACCAAGAAATAATTTTTAACCAGCCATCTGAATATCCCATGACCCAGTCAAGTTGACACAAAAGATGGTCACACACACACACACACACACACACACACACAAACACACATATGAATGCACACACACATCCCTACCTCTTTTACTATATATTCTGTTCTCCTAATGATGTCCTTTCACTACCAGTTAAACTCTTAGTTTCAGAGCACTGCTGAAATACTTCATCATGAACACACTTCCAGGATCAATTCATTTCCCTTCTCCCTCTTCCTCTTGTGCTCCCTTAGCACTTTTCACTCATGCCCATTTTTTTCACTTGACACCTGTGCTATCATTATCCAATATCTGTCTTCCCTATAGATAATACAATAGAGCAAGCCAAGGGTGCTTAGACATCTGTGAGTCCCTAGCCACAAGCACAACTCTCAGAACAGGGTAGATGCCCAATAAATGTCAGTGAATGAGTGAATGACTAAGGTCTGAAACGTTCAACATGAAGTTTTATGAGTTGACAGATGTTGTATTTATTGCTAGTTTGCTATTTATTTGAGCAGTCATTGATGCTCAAAGTGACTTAAGAATTAGTATTTATGAGTAGCCTGCATGAAACAAATATAGAGGAAATATTTTTGAAAAAAATTGAAAAAACCTCATGAATTTAGAATAACTTGAAGTAGAATCTGCTAAAATGTGTTACAACTGATGGTGATCAAAAATTATGTGTGGAGCAGAAAAAGGGTTAGTGAACAAACATACAAAAATTTTGAAAATAGAATGTATTTAACTCCTATGGTCTATTCATTGTATTATTTGTCTTCAGTTACATTGCAGAAAACCTTGTAATCCCTCGTGTGCTATTTAGCTAGTAGTGCTGCTGTGGAACTTCATTTACTTTCATGAACTTAACCATTACTGTTCTATGAACTTAATCACAGCAATTCTATGGGTAAACAGTGGTAATGGAAATTTTTGTATGTGATGTTTTTTAGCTCAGGGCTGATATTGAATTATTTTTGATCAAGAAAAATACCTCTCAGTTATTATTATTGAATACTGAATGGCTTTGGAAATTTATATTTGTTGTATGCCTGTTACTGCTTCTTAATAAATTCAACCTAAAAATCACAAGACAAGCAGTGCTTATATATGAGATTTATACTGGTTAAAGTCATCTCTATGGCAATTAATGTTGGTTGAATCAAAGTAATGTCAGGTTACTTTATGTACTTCTCACATGAATGTGCAGTGGATATTTTATCCAAGTTTAAAGTTTCAGTATTTTTCCCAGACTTCTATACAAATACAAATAAAATTTCCATATTTCAAACATACTTAACTGTACATTTGAATAACTTCCACCTAACTGTCAATTGGAAGTGATTACTCTGCAGTATAATACATGCTCAATAGCACATGTGAAGAGAAGAATCTAATTGAACTTTGTAAAATGTCTTCCAAGAGATGAATATGTTCAATTAAAATCAGATGCTGGCAAGTTGATACCAGTGTTTGAAAGTACTTATCTCTTCAATTTGTATTAGTGCTTTCCAGTATATAGCTATGTGAAGATATTTTCAAAGATGAACAATGTAAAATCTCATTAGAAAAAAAAACAGATCAACATTTACAATCAATTTTGATGACAGAGAACATTGATACTGAATCTTAATTAAGCAAATGTCATCCTCCCCAAAGAGTTTCATTCTCATCTTAATGAACCCATATCATATTTAAAATATATGCAATTATCATTATGTTTTTCGTTTCAACAATAAAATATTTGTGGAAATTTGTTTCTTTCTCCTGTTATACAAGTACTTTCATAATAACCTTGATTCTGCCTGTAGGGCCTGCAGAAACTAATGTTAACTGTGTGCCCTTTATAGAATAAGTTTTCCCAGCTCAAGGTGCCTTCAAGTAAGACCATTATACTTTCACCAATAATCATCAAATCAAAATAGACAGGACTGGCGTGGATTTAAAGGGTTGACTTCATTACTAAGACTTCAAAGAAAAGGTAGGTAATACTGAATAGTCCTAGAACCTAAGAGTCTTGATCATTCATTGGATGTAGGGTATGTCAATCTTCACTTTTCATCAAATGAGTTTAGAGCTTGTTATGAAGGGATGCAGTCCTTTATTGACCCTTTTGACCCTGCCCTATCTCCTGTCTCTCGGAAGTTTTCATTCCTAGTGGGGGTCTTCGGAGGCACAGACTTAGATGACAACTCCTGGAGCCTGAGATTGACCCCCTGCCCTTCGTGTAGTGGGGCCTCCTTAGGCACCACCGTAGATTGTCCCCTCAGTGGGAGGCTCCTCCACGTTCCCCTCCCCTCAGACTCCACTACCAACGGCCTTCCCTCAACGGCAGCCAGCTAGGCCTCCACCATCTTCACTGTCCTCATTGCCCCAGTCCGATTGCAGCCCAGTTGAGGTACCCACTGGTGTCATGTCTGCCACAGGGGATCGAGACCCAACCCAAGAGGGCCCAGTGGGAGAGTGGATGGGGGCTGCTGGAGTGGGTGAAGGGATAGACCTCGACTTGGGCCCAGATGAGGGCAACATGGCACCTGAGACCATGGAAGCCGAGGTGGCGGGTTCTGGGGGGATGGAGATCCTGGAGCCTGAGGGAGGCCTAGAGGAGGAAGAGGGAGCTCAGGGCCTAGTCCCGGCCAGAGCCCGGGAGGGCGGCAACACCGAGGAAGACTCGGACATTGGGCCGGCAGAGGATGAGGGAGGGGACCTGGCAGAGAGCCAGGACATCCTCGTGGACGCCCGTCAGTTCCCCATGGTTGGCTTCCGGTTCATGTTCCTGGATCTGGTCCACTCCCTTCTGCACCGCATCTACTACAACGACCACATCCTGATCCGCCCCTACCGTGGCCCTGTAGTGGTGCGATCCCGCTCGCCAATGGCAGATGGCTCAAGCGAGCTCCCGGTGCTACACATACCCCAGAGGCCGAGAATGAGGGCCCAATCTCGGGAGGTCCAAGACGAGGGCCTTCGCTTGGGTCTAGGCCTGCCTGAGGTGGCCACCTCAGTCCTAGAGTTCCAGGAACCAACAGACAACGCAGAAGCAGCCCATGTTTCCGTGGAGCGGACAGAGGAAGTGGCAGAGGAGGAGCAGGCAGAGGAGATGATAGATCAGGTCACAGAAATAAGGGGTGAGGAATGGGTGTAGGGGCAGCTGCATGGGTACTTTCTTGTGGCCAGTGGCAGCAAGTGGGGATGGTGTGCTGGCTGAGGGAAGTGGCGAGATCCCGGGGCCTTGGGTTAGGGAAGTGCTGGGTCCTGACCCCCTCCAAATTAAGGCTGAATGTGCCAGGGCACAAGCCCAATTCAAAGCAACCTTTGCAGTTTTGAAAAAAAATATGCTGTCCTTTACCAACCTGTATTTAATAAGAGTTGGGACTGTCGATGCAATTTGCCAGCGGACAGATGAGTGTCAGGTGTTCAGGAGGGAGCTCGGGAGGAAATGGAAAGAACCCTGGAGGAAAAGAAATAGCAAAGGGTGCACCTCCTCTTTGGTTCACAGCTTTTGAAAGTGAAAAGGGTCTTAGAAAGTTGAGCCTAAAAATGATTTGGGAGCACTTGGTAAAAAAGACAGGTTCTGGGGTTAAGGAAACAATTGGCTTCACTGCAGAATTTGTCTTTGAGGCAAACAAGTATTTTCCCAACAAATTTTTGCCCAAAACATTGAAAATGCAAACTGACCCAATCACTCTGACCCTTTCTTCCCTGAAGGAGAAGTAATCAGCAGCATTAGGTGGGAGATTTCCTGGGAAGAGGGGAACATGTCACTGTGGAAATGATCAAGCAGCAAAAATATGAGGGCCATGGAAGGGTGATGTCAACCAGCAGGAAGGTGCCTGGCCATGTTTTCTTAGCTACTTCTTCTTGCTTCTCCTGAGGGGAGATGATTGGTGCTGCTGCTGGGTATGAATTGGGCTAGTTTTTCCATCTGATCTCACTGTTTGTATTATTCTTCACCAAAGAAATAACTAAATATCAGTATGGTAACTGGAGTGAAGATGATGTAGACTTTGGAGGTGAAGAAGAGAAAGAAGAAGAGGAAGAAAAAAAGATGGAAAATGAAAAACAAGAAGAACCTGAAAAGGACCCAGATCCACTGGATGGCAGCCCCAGAAAACCCAGGTATCTGTGTACAGCTTTGGGTATCACTCAACAGTTCTGGCCTTTATCTGATACTGACAGTTTTATGTTTTGGGTTGATTTTTTTTTTTTTGATTCTGGGAAATTGAGAAAAAGTTTATTTAAGATCACATTACATTTGATTTAGCATACTTAGAATGTTACTAGAATACTCATGTACCTAGTAATATAAAATATACCATATTGTGATATATACTTCATAGCTACTCATCTGTTGTTGTGAGGTGTTTCATCCTCTGGCAACTGCTACAGTGTGGGCTGGGCCAGGTACTAGTGAGGTCTTCATTACTTGGCCATTGAATTGAATTCTCCTGTACTAACTAGGAGGCAACATCTTATAGAATGTGACTACTAACAAATAGCAAAAGTTAGGAACTTCAAGTAGGACCACATTTAATGCTTAATACCTAAATATTTGTTTAGTTGTTAAGTTTTGTATTTTATATTAGTCAAAAGGAAGAACCTTGGTCATAGTATGATTATTTATCACTGAGATGTTAATTAAGTCTTAAGCTATGTCTTGTCTTTGAGCATATTTAAATCATCAATGTTTTTTTTTCTTTTTTGCATTTCACAGCTGTGTATTTCACAATAGCTCATTTCTCATATGGTAGATGTGAAAACTAAGGATCTGGGAGGGTAAGGGTGTACCATTTGTGGAAACAGCACAGGATTTTAAAGCTTGAGAGATTTATTTAAATGATAGAATGGACTTCAAGTAAAACAAACAACACACACACACACACACACACACACACACATACACACACCAAGAATGTCTGGTGTTCAGCAAGAGGGAGACAAGGTTGGTGTCATCACATAATTGAAGCCCTCACTTGCATGAACACCTTCATACCCAAGGGTTCGAGCTACTAGAGGAAAATATGTTGTTCTTCTGTACTTGCTGAGATACAGCACAAATGCGGCAGGCAAATGTAGAGCCTATTTTCTTAGATATAGAAAGCAATTTATGTTGTATAATTGTTCTTCTTTCATTTTATTCATAGTTGGAAAGAATAGAAAAGGATGAAGAAAGAAGAAAGAATCTGATCTTCACTCTTTTTATGTGTTTGCTTTTCAGAAGCCCAAGGCAATTTTATCAATATTGGTTTCATTCCTCAGTTCATCACCCCAAAAGTGACATTCAATGATACCCAACTTTTCTATTTATTTATTACACTAATCTACTTATTTATTATGTTTTAATGGCATTTGTTCAAGTGAACAAATAGTTTGTTTTCAATGACTAACCTGAAATATAAGTATATTTTTAAAAAGATAACACTCAAATCTCTGTTTTACCTCTTTATCTTCATTTGAAATGGATCACGTTCTACCACTTGGTAAACTTTATTTATAAAGTCTTTTATAGCAGCCTAAACAATTACAATGTCAAGTTTAAAAATTTTTTATGAGGAAAGAGATTGAGGTCAAACCTTTAGTTAAAACTATGTTTGTCGTTATATTAGTCACTTAGCCATGTGTGGCCCTTGAGCATGTAAAATGTGATTAAATCCTATTTAAGATGTACTGTGTCACCATTGTATACACCCACAAAGATGGGGTCTTAATTAGATATAAGATACACTCCATACTTGTATAATTTTATCAAAATGCATTGTCTTGTATAACTAAGAAGAAACAATAAAAAAGAAAGATCACTTGACTCTTCAGAGTTTGTCCAAAGTGTTTTAGTAGTTCATGGATCCAGGTGATCATGGAGTAATGGGAACTCATAAGTGGGTACTAATGTTCTAAATTCATTTGAGCCTTGGAAACAAGGTTGTGATGGCTAAAATTCCCTCAAATGTTAGTTCTCCTACTATAGAATAGTAGCAAACAAAAAGGTGTAAAAGAGCATACAAAGAAAATAATTTATTCAAGATTTTTGCCCATATTGTTGATTTCATCTATCTCTCAATTCCAATTCATTTTCTTAATCTTAATAAAATATACTTCTTTCAAGTCCTCAAATAAAGATGTACTGTGTGAAAACAATGTAAAATATCTCAGTAATAACTAATGATATATTGATATGATGATATATTTAGTTAAACAAAATATGATATTAAAATTATTTTCATCAGTTTCTTTTAAATTTTTTTAATGCAGCTACTAGAACATAGATCGAGTTATATGTCTTTTGGACAGAGCTGCTCTAGAGCATGGTTTTGAAGGAAACTTCATGGATGGCTGAAGTTGCCTGGAGGCCACGTGTTGCTGTTGATGTTGGGTCCAGACTTTGATTTGGAGTGGTGGCTAGGTGTAGTCAGTCTCTGGACTAGCAGCAATCTCAGGTCACATGTGTAACCTGTGAATCAGCAACTCTAGGGGAGGGGACCACCTCTGTGTTTTAATCAGTTCTCCAGGAGATTCTGATATATACTATGATTTGAGAACCACTGGTTTAGAGCAACAGGGGAAGCAGACGAGACTCACCTAAGATAGGACCAGCCTTAATCACTGGCTTGGAACTGTTGTAGGTAAACTTAATGGGATGGCAAGGGCTGGGCTGGGAGGAGACATAGAGGGGCAAAGATTGGGTAATAGCAGCAAAAAACACAAAAGGAAAGAATCTGGTTCAAGAGGGATATAACATGATACCAAACATGCCAAATCTAAAAACCATGCAAAATAATTACCATATATTGATAGTGAATACAAATATCTGGAGTAGAAAGCATGCATAAGAAGACAGCATTGTTGGGAAAGATAAATACCTCATTTAGGATAGGGTTACCTCCAGGGAAAAGAAAAGAAGACAGATTTTACTGGGGAGGGCTTTACAGTGCATATCAACTGTACTGGTAGTGTTCCATTACTTAACTTGAATGGTAGATACATGCTTATGGGTGATAGATTCATGCAAGAAGGATGTTTGGGATGAGCTCCCTATTTTGCCTCTCTACCAGCCATGCCCCTACAAAGGTATATTCTCTATACCTTGTATAGATCTGAAATATAAATTAATACAAAACAAAATAAATAAAAAGAGGAAAGTGGGAATGGGATTAATCTCTAGACTCTGCTGAAGTGGGGAAATAGGTGAAGTCATATTTGATCAGAGTAGGAGATCAGAAAGAAGGAGAGGGCACAGGAGTTTGAGATTAGCTAGCTTCATTTCTGTATTTAGTGTCACCTCAGGTACTCTCTTGCTAGCACTGATACCTTTGCTCATACTGTAGGAGCATGTCTTAAATTATAACTTATTCTAGCATTATTTTTAACTGAAGTAAAATACACATAACAAAATTAACCATTTTAAAGTAAACATTTCAGTGATGATTAGTGTCTTCACAATTCTATGTAATTACCACCTCTATTTTTTTTATTGGTTGTTCACAACATTACAAAGCTCTTGACATATCATATTACCACCTCTATTTAATTCCAAAATATTTTCACCACCCCCAAAGCATGTACCTATTAAGAAGTCACTCTTCATTTTCTGCCAGACCCCAGCCTCTGGCAACCACGAATTTTTTTCCTGCTGTATGAATTTGCCTATTCTGGACATTTCATATAAATAGCATTTGCATCTGACTTATTCACTTAGCATAATGATTACAAGGTTCATCTACCTTATAGTATATATCATTATTTCATTCTTTTTATGGCTGAATTATATTCCATTGTATGTATACTGCACTTTGTTAATCTATCCTTGTATTGATGGACATTTAGGTTTTTTTCCATCTTTTGGCTATAGTGAATACTGCTGCTATAATAATTTGCTTACTAGTACTTGTGCAATATTTAAACATGGGTGTATCTACTCCCCTTACCACCCCACCCCCTACACTGGAAACTTCTGAATGATCGGGACTTTAAAGGGTTTTATTTATTTTCCTCTCCCAAAGCCCTAGACACTGGGTTTTCCACATAGTATTTGTTCAGTTAAAGTCTATTAATAAACTAAACTTAGCACATTCAAAACCCCTTTTTATTGTTACCAGTGCTGATATTTTAAAGTGTACTATCATGTAGTATTCCTTATGGCTAGAATTACACAATGAGACAGAGGCACAGGGCCTCTAACCATCATTACTTAAATTGAAAGGGCAGGCCAATAGATTGTTTTCCATATAGTGTTATTTGAGGGTCTTCAAACTGGTATTTATGTTTCATAAGTTGTTAATATGGTATTTCTCTTAGACTTAGACAGGAAGGATGTATGTACTGAGTTCCATACTTTAGAGGCCCTACTTTGACCCTCTAGCAGCCACGACCCTACATATAGATCCAGGAGACAGTTGAGAACAAGGGTTACTTCCTTTGCTAGGCCATGTTTCAGGTAGCTGGGACCTCTGAATAATTTCAAGTCTGCTGTCAGGTTCTGCATGCTCTTCCTGGAACTGTCCTTGGGAGGTTGACTATCCTATCAGGGTATCTGCTCCCAGACCTAAGGGGTGACTGTATGCCTGGAACAGAGCATGGAGCCTGGTCTTGGAGACAGGCCAGAACCAAGGTCAGAGGAGCAGGGATGGGAAAGAGAACCATGGCAAGGAGGCGGGCCTTTGGGGAGTCTGAAAATTCAAAAGTCCAACCTAAGTCTTCAGGTCATTATTAAGGCACACTTGTTATTTGTAGTATTAGTTTTTTTAAATGTACATTTGTAGTATTAGTTTTTTTTAAACATGGATCCCCAACTTATCTAAATCCAGTTAAATATCTAGTTGGTTAGGCTAAATATCTAATCTAAAACCCTTTTCCTTCCCTCATTCCATGCCACACCTTATTGCCTTAGTAGCCCCATGTTTCCAAAAATGCTGATTCCAGGAACCCATCTTGCTGTAAAAGTTAGAACTAGTCCCTGAGCTAGGCTGAAGGACAACCACCAACAATCATGTCCCTTCTACTCATCTAGCTGCACCCCTCCACCCATCTCTCTCTTTGCTCCCCAGCTATTCATACAAAAAACTTCTTCAATAGAAGTCCCTCCCAATACAAGTGCCCATCTGGAGCCACTGGCTTGGTGAGGCACAACTATGTAGAGACCCTTTATGTGTAGCACAAGGTCTTAAGGACACTTTAGTCCTCTGACAAACTTCAGGTCTGAGTTGCCAGGATTCTATTTTACTTCCCTCCCGAAGTCACCAACAGACTGAGACAGACTACCAAATAGGTTTTGTTGAATTTATTTGGTTTGCACATATCAAAAATCAGGAAAGCTAAAAGAAGCTGAAATCTTGCCAAAATGTGCTTTGGGCATTAGTAATTCTTAAACTCTTCATTTTAAAACAGAGCTTTGTTAACAGTGGAAAAGAAATTGTTAATGGAAAGTTCTCAGAGTGAGAGTAACCTAATAGAAGTCCACTCTCAGAAAAGTGGGAAGGAAGATATAACAGCTACTCTTCCAAGATTAGCTGGAAAAAGGGCTTCTACTTTAATAAAGTGTTCACTATGGGGATACAAAGGGAATAAATCAAGTCAACTGAAAATCTAGTATAGCCAAAAAGGCTAAACTACAATATCAGGAAAAAAAAAGATATTTTATAGAGAAAATGCAAAATCTAGCATGTATTTGCACAGTGTCACATTATACCACCATCAGCAAAAACCAGCACCAAGTATCTAAATTAGCTCTGGCATCTCATTGCCTCTCTGGACAGTTTTGCACGAAGAAGCACCCCACTCAGAATGTAAAGGCACAGTTAAATTTCTAGGCCTATATTTCTGTTCAAGCAAAGTAGCCCCGGTGACAGAGGATGGTATGGTGATTGCTATCCTGAGAAGTTGTTTCTGAGTCTCTAGGAAAATGAGTTATGTTTACTTCACAGGTATCTAAGGGAGTACCCCACCAAATGTTTGATAGGCTTGGGGGTGAAACAAAGGGAAAGGACATGGAAAAGACTTAAGTGACTTCTGGTTCACCTGGATGAGGCTCTAGGGTGGCCTGCACCTTGGAAAGTGAGCCAATTGAGAAGCCAATTGGGGGTCAAGGTGCCCACATCTTTACTCCTGAGCCTGGGAGTTTAGTGAAGACCATGCCACCAGGATGGGAAGGGAGTAGTGAAATGTACTAGGCTATTTCCCCCTCCCCTCACTGTGACCAACCCTCTCCTCCTGCTTCTTCCTCTCCCACTCTTGTCTTTTTGCATTTTCTCTTGCAGGTCACTGGGGAGGTTGGGGCTTTCTGACATAGTAACTTGGGAGGTGCCTGTCTCTAGGAATGGAGGGTGGGGAGAGGCTGGTTTCATCATTTGTGGTTTCCTAGAAGCAGAAAGTTCATTTCTCTGTGGCTTTGTCATAGCAGTGTTGCTTTGGGCTAAATCCTCATGAAGCAGACTGCTAAGGGGAAGGGATTAAGGCTACATGGAGTTCTCCATTATAAGACTGGAGTCAGAGGAGACAGGAGCCCTCTAGTGGCCACAGACATGCATCAAGGTAGTGAGGTGGTGAGCTCACCACGGAAACAGCAGCTTTTGGCATCTGTAGAACATTGAATTTTGACAAGGACTTGGTGCTTAAGCACTAGGATATTATAATAGGAGGAACATTGACATTTCTGGGCAACTGGAGAAGGTCCCAGAAGCCAAAAACCGATGAACTAACCATCTAGAGAAGTAGGATAACTTCCAAGAAGCATTGTGCTCATAGAGATGGGTACACATCTGCCAGGGCTGCCACATATTGAGATGGGGCCTGTGCTCTGTGTTACTGTCACCCAAGTTGAAAGCACTGGAGGCCCCCAGGGTCATGTAGAAGGTGTTTCAAGGGGTAATGGGTTGATTAGAAGACTGGCCTTTGCAAAATTTTTCTTGGAGATGCAAAATTTTCACTTCCACCAACCAAGTAATTCAGCATTTATGTAGGCTCATAAAACCTAAAAACCAATCCCTGGGCCAAATCATCTCAATATTTATTTCCATTAGGATTACTTTATTTGGTTGAGGAAAACAACCATCTTTTAATTGCTCTAACAAAGTGTTTATATTTTCTTCCTTTGAAGGCATATTCTCCAAAGTTAAATATTTCACAATTCTACAGCAGTGCAAAGATTTTTCCATAGTTTTATAGAGGAAATGCTGGGTTTCTAGATGCTGGCAGTGACTGTACTGAAAGTTAGGCATTAATGGCATTTATTTCATTCAAAGAGTTAAAAGTTTTAATTCCCATTTCTAAGGCTCTTTTGCTTAATAAAAAATTGTCATAGTAAAGAAATCACTACACAGAATTACTACAGCTATTTGGCAATTATCATTTAAAATGCTGATGCTCCACCCAGGAGCTATTTATTGCATGATCTCTGCTATGTGGCTCCATGCTTTGGCTTTCTTCTTGGCCATAGAGAACCAAACAGGCTCATCTGGCTCCACAGGCACAACAGGCTCCAGTGGCTGTTCGGGCCCAGCTGGAAGACTTGAAGATCGTTTAGTTTCTTTATCTATCGCAGACATGCGAAGTGTCTTCTGATCTTCAAAAGCAACTGGAACCACAGCAAATAAATCACAACCAGTAAGAAGTCCCAGAGATGTTGATGTATTTTTATAACATGAAATAAAATGTTTCATATTTTCAGATTTCCCCTGAGTCCCTTTCTCTCAGTACTTTCCACCTCTTGCCCCCTTCGATGTCAAGCTTCTAAAAGTCAGTGCCATGACTTTGGAATGTCAAAGGAGTAAAATCGGCATGTGGCCATAAGGGCTTGGCCATGGGAAGTCTTGAGAAGTAATTACTATGTTGTACTGCCAATCTTTGGGTAGTTATTATTGGCTTGTCTTACACTTTTGAACTGAGATCAGAAGGTAAACATATCTGATCGATTCTTTTAAAATTTCAAATCAGGTAGTGGGTTTTTTGTTGTTGTTGTTGTTTTGTTTTTTTGCCAATCCACAATGTAGTATGAAATTAAATCACTGGTGACTCAATAGCTCCATCCAATAAAAGTCAATATTAAACAATATTGTAGCAACCACCCCATCCTGGCCAAGCACACTACCTTCCTATTTTCCAGTTCCACATCCTCCCTCATCCTGCTCTATGACTGATTGACTCAGTGACTTAGACTCAACCAGTATTTCTCAATCTTGAATGCACATTAGAATCTTCTATGGCTTTTTTAAAAAATACCAGTGCCCATGTATTGTCTGAACCAACCTCATTAGATAAGCCAGGGCCATCTAATTTTTAAAAAAAAAAAACTCACCAGGTGATTCTAATGCTCAGGGAGAGTTGAGAATGACTTGACAGCAGTGTAGTGCCCATGAAGCAATGAACAGGTCAACTGTTGCTATTTCATGGCTAAAATAATGAGTTCCTGAATTCCTAGTCTAATTTCTTCATGAAGGGGATTAAGGGAGAAGGCAAAGATGACATCATTTAAATCCATCCTCCCCTCATCCTACTCGTGCTGGGAAAATCCTTCTGGCACACAACTCTTACTGATGAGATCACATTATTTTATCACATCACAGTGGTCTTTCAGTAGTTAAAATTTCCCCACTTCTCACATCCCTGCTCAGAATACAGAGGATTAAACAGTTAAAAATGGTTCCATACCATTAGGCCTTCATAGTGGATTATTTTCAACAATTTCATGGGGGATATAGCAGTGGAAAAACATCACTGTGCCATGAGCTGGAAAATGACTTGGTATTTTTCTCTTGCATAACTTAGCCGCAAGAATGTTTTAGTGAGTGACAACAGTTTTGTGCCTCCACAGCTTCCTCAGTGAGATGAAAGGCTGGAGGAGCTTCTGAAAGTTATACACTGGACTTAATGTTAGTCATAAGAAATGAATTTTCCTAAAGTAAGCGAATATCTGTTATCTTCATATAGAAGAGTCATGACAGTGATTTGGGGAATAAAAGACATGTTAACTGAGCTTGCAATTGCAGAAATTTCACAACATTCTTCCAGAGCAGGTTTTTGTGAGATCAAGGGATATGCTTTTACCTGATTTGGCAGGCTTAGGTGGCTTCGTTGGTGGCATCTTCTCCTGTATATGGACAGTAGAAGTCAAAATCTTTTTTACTTGGCTTTCATTTGCAGAGCCAGCTCCCTTTAATATAAAAATGAAAACAGAAAGCTTGTAAATCCTGACCAACACCCCCCTCAGCAAATTGCTTATTCAGAAAATCATATGGGGCAATGTATTTTGGGGGAGGTAGGGGAACCAGGGATTAAACCAAGGGATGCTTAACCTTGACCACTGAGCCACATCCTCAGCCCTTTTTATGTTTTATTTAGAGACAGGATCTCACTAAGTTGCTTAGGGTCCTGCTAAATTGTTGAGGCTGGCTTTGAACTTGCAATCCTCCTGCCTCAGCCTCCCAAGTTGGTGGGATTACAGGAGTGCACCACTGAACGTAGCCATATAGGGCAAGTTCTATCCTGGGCACTACAAGTACCCCCCAGGGGGGTGAAGAGAGAGATCGACCATATAATATATCTATATAGACATATAAGAAAAGAAATAGCACTGAACCTTTGGTTTAGAATGTATGTTGACAAAACCTAAGCTGGCTCATGTTTACCACCTTTCAGACCTGGAAGAAAGGTTGTCTGACTATACAAATAGTGTAAACAGAATAACATGATAATTATTTAGCTTGAGAACAACCTTTTCTCCAGCACTTAACAGCAAGCTAGCAGAATGTGATGGCTACAATGAATCTGATCAATTCATTAATTCATTGAAGTGAGTTCCATAGGATTTCTACTTTGCAAAACTTTCTGACATGACTAGAACATTCTTGCATTAAAAAGTGTTGGTGTAAGTCTTTTCTAAATTTTCAAATTAACCTCTCCACAATTGACACACTTTAATGACTTTATACAAACTAGGATATTTCCCCCTGACAAAACCTTTCACCAAGGTGGACTTAACTTTTGTATGGTACTCCTCCCATATAAACACAAATGATAAGAAAATATCTTTAAGCAAAAAATTAGTTTTTCACATGATCCTTCAACAACTTTAGTAAGCCCTTAAATGCATAGGAATTGCTGGATGCTATGGTGCACACCTATAATATCAGTGACTCTGGAGGCTGAGGCAAGAGAATCGAAAATTTAAGGCCAGCCTCAGTGGCTTAGTGAGAGCCAGTCTGAAATTTTTAAACTGAAAATAAAAAGGGCTGGGAATGTAGCTCAGTGGTAAAGTGCCTCTGGGTTCAATTTCCCAGAAAAAAAAATACATAGGACTTTAGATATATTTTGATATGTTAATTTGTTATGATTTCTTGAGACAGCTTTGAACAATTTTTATAAGGGAGGAAGGCATCATTCTATCATCCTTGATCCACATGTAGTACCATTAACCTAGTTCATTGCATAATATTTTTTTGAACTTCAGATAAGTACCACACAAAACCAAATTAACACCTAGAAATCCAAATGTTGAACACATTAAGGTGAATTGTTATCTACTGATATGGAAAGGTGACCAGAAATGAAATGCTCAAAAAAAGTAGACATTAGGCTGGGGTTGTAGTTCAGTGGTAGAGTGCTTGGTTTGCATGCATGAGGCACTGGGTTCAGTCCTCAGCAACATATAAAAATAAATAAATAATATAAAGATATTGTGTCTATCTACAACTAAAAAAATATTTTATAAAAAAAAATAGTAAAGTAATCCCCCTTTATCCATGGCTTCACTTTCTATAGTTATAGTTACCTGTGGTCAACTGCAGTCCAAAAATATTAAATGGAAATTTTCAGAAATTTACAAATTTAAAATTGCTTGCTTTTTTTCAGTAACATGATAAAGATTCAGGTCATCTCACTCCTACTGGGATGTATACTATCCCTTTACCTGGCTCTTCTACACTGTATATGTTATCTGACTGTTAGTCACTCAGTACCCAGTTTTTTAAACTTATTTTTTAGTTGTAGATGGATACAATACCTTTATTTTATTTATTTATTTATATGTGGTGCTGAGGATCAAACCCAGTGCCTCACATGTGCTAGGCAAGTGCTCTACCACTGAGCCACAACCCCAGCCCCTCAGCAGTCATCTTAATTATCAGATGAACTGTCAGGATATCACAGTGCTTGTGTTCAAGAAATCCTTATTTTACCTAATAATGGCCCCAACTTGCAAAGAGTAATGATTCTGGCAATTCAGATATACCAAGGAGAAATTGAAAAGTGCTTTCTTTAAGTGAACAAGCAAAAATTCTTGACTTAATAAGGAAATAAAAAATCATGCACTGAGGTTGCTTAGATCTATGGTAAGGATTTGACTTCTATCTGTGAAATTGTGAAGAAGAAATAATAAATACATGCTATTTTTGATGTTGCTCCTCAAACTTCAAATATTAGGGCCACAGTGCATGAACAGTGCTTAGTTAAGATGAAAAAGGCACTAAATTATAGGGATCAGTACTATATATGGTTTCAGGTATCTACCAAGGATCTTGTATCCCTGTATAACTATAAATACAGTAGTCCCCCCCAGTTAAGGGGGACTAGTGTATTTATAGTTTGATTCCTATTTATAAAAATACACATATGTATTTATAAGCATAAAATATGTGTAAAGATAGACACTCAACTTTTACCCCAGTGGTTACCTTCATGGGTTTTTTTTTTTTCGTTGTTGTTTTATCTATTTACACTTATTTCTCAACCAATTTCATGGAATCCTGCTCTAGAATATTTAGGACAGGATTTGATTTATTCATTACTTTTGGCAAACCCTTTAAGAGCATCAAGTAGGTCACATTTGTACAAGTATTTTCCCCTGCAGAGTCCTCCTGTCTTTTTTTTTCTTTTTTCTTTTTTTTAATTTTATTTTTTTTTTATTGGTTGTTCACAACATTACAAAGCTCTTGACGAGTCCTCCTGTCTTGATAAATGCTCCCAAAGCGAGGGGGCCTGAATATCTGACAAAGTTCTCAGTGCAAACGTAATCAATGACTCCAGAAACCCTTTTGGAGTGTTTTCTGAGCTGCTTCACATCCTACCCCATATTTAGGATCCTTGGTCTCATCCTTGGCTCCAGTTCTACTTGTGGGTTTTAGCTCTTTTTTAGGAACATAGGCCTGGGAGCCTCTCTGTCTCTGCTTTGTCATGGTTATCCAAACTGCCTCTGCAATGGCACAGTCTGACTGGTGACAAGAAGGCTTTCCTGAGAAAGAAATGAAAGGTATTAGAACTGAAGCAAGGCACAATAATGTTCCAAGTGGGATTCGTGTTAATTACCAAATGAAATTAAACAGATATCAGTAGAAAAGGATTCCTTTCTTTTGTGCCCTCCATATAACCCGGCAAGGCAGGAGTCCCTTGGGTAGTTAAGAAGCTGTTCTTAAAAGTGAGCATACTGTCCCCTTACTGGATCCTTTCCTTCTTTTGTCCATTTCTCTTCTCATCCCCAAATTGGGGCAGGACAATGGTCGTCAGGTGGGCTGGGAAAATTCCTAAGAGGCCATAGGCTTGGGTCATTGATATCATCCCTCCAACTCCAAAGAAAATCTTTGAATTTCCTGCTTGATAATCCCTCATGCAAGTGTGTGGTTACATAGGTATGTATATACCAAACTATGTGTGGGTTGGAATAATGGTAGAAAGGTTTTGGGAGAGACTTGTGCTCACAAGATCACCTAGCTCTGGATTCTTAGACATTTCAGGTAAAGGAAGAAGCTGTGTAAATACAAATATTTACAGTAAACTACAATTTCAGGCTGAGAGTCTGAACATCATGCTATTCTTGAATTGGCTCTGAACAATGTACATGGTGGTTTGGAGGGGTATAATACATGTAAAAGTATTTTGAGAAAAGTTATAAGTCCATCCAAAAGTATGGTGTACAGAGGGTAGGGAGAGGGAGTGAGGAGGTGATCATGTGTCTATTATAAATGTGGGTAGATATCCAGACCAGTGCCTCCTTGGGAAGGGGAAGAGTCAAAATGAACTACCTCCAAGTCTATTCATCTAGACTGAGGCATTCCCCTGCTCCTATATCCACAACACAGCCCTAGCAAAACAATAACCTAATAGGCAAGGCTAGAACAGACTTCAGACTCATTCAAGGCTTTGCTTTCCCATTCTTTCCTCCACATGGTACCTACTTGCCATCTGGAGAGATAAAAGTCTCACCTGGGGGTATGTAAACTGGTGACCTCTTGAGCATGCTTTCCAATTTATTCCTGTTCTGTTGCTTCTCCGCAAAGTTAGCTATATCACTGAGGTCTTCTGGGGTACTCAGGAACACTTGGGGATTGCTTCTTCTCATGCGCTGTTCCTTGCCCACAGAGTGTGCAATTGGGCCCAAGGGCACTGAAGAAAATTGTGCCAAATTATCTCGTTTCTCATTCTTAAATTTCTGTGGAGAAGGGATTCTTCTCAGTCGGACTCCAAAAAGGTTTTCCACCTCAGCTTCACTGCTGGGTATGCTGGTATGGCCATCATTATGTCCAGTACCACTCTGAAGAATTTCCTCCTTAATGTAAGCACTCCCAGAAATGGGTGTTTTCCCAGGAAGAGTAATGTTGAACTTCCCAGGTTTGTTAGCAGAGACTGGGATGCTCTTAATGAAGTCTTCTGAAACTTGGCTGAATTTCTTGGTTTTCTTTGGAGAAACAGGGCATTTTGATAAGGACCAATTGCCTGGATTGTTCCCAAAAATGGTTCCCTCACCAGCAACATTTGTGGAACTTGAGTGGGTCTGTTGCTGGTATCCAGGATTTCCATATGTCTGGAAAGGATTAACAGGAAAGGAGGCCTCTGCAGGACTCCTCCAATCTACAGGAACATTCCCTGAGCCTGGTGATAAAATTGATGGCTGCTCAGATCCATCCAAAGTTTGGGAAGGATGTCTGGAAGGCATATGCTCTTCAGAGATCCTCCACTCTTCTGGGGAGTCATCAGAAACTGAGGAGATTTCCTGCTGGTACTCAAACTTCCCCAGGACCTGGGAAAACTGTCTGGTAGGTACCTGCCCTTTAGAACTGCTCCACTTGCTAGGGACATTCTCTGAATATGAGAGACCATCTTGTGGGCCTTCAGGCCTCCCCACTGACTGTAAAGGGTGCTTCATAGGCAGCTTCTTCAAAGAAGTGCCTCCCTCAGAGTCAGCATTCTCCCAATCTGAGAAAACGTGGTGTTCCATTTTAGGCCTCAGCAAAGATTTGAAAGGATGACTTAGCGAGAGAGGATCTGCATACATGCCCCCGTGAATAGAAGCACTCTCTGAGAAGATCTGCTGTGCCATAAACTTCACAAATGACTGGGAAGGACTGGGAAGCAGTGGTTTCTTAGAAAAATCTTCTTCACCAGCAGGATTCTCTAGACGTGAGGACATTTCCTGAACTTTAGACCTCACTGAGAACTGGGTCGGATACTCAGGAGGCAATGCCCTCCCAGAATTACCTTCCTCAACAGTAGCACTCTCAAAACTTGGGGACCCTTTCTGGGCTATGTGCTTCATAACAGAACGGGAATGAGGGTTGGAAAGCAGCATGTCTCTAGTACTGCCTCCCTCAATGGTAACACTTTCTGGACTTGTAGAGGCTTGTTGCTCAATTTGAGGGTTCCCCCATGGCGGGTAAGTATATCTGGGAGGTATTGGACAGCTCCGTTCTATAGAAGTGCTCACTGAACCTGAGGAGATTTCTTGTTTGACTGCTGGTCTCTTCTGGGATTGTAAGTGATGTCCAGGAGGTCTCAATTCCATTGAACTGCTCCCTTCAGCTGCAGAGCTCTCTGGACCTGCAGAGGTTTGTTGCTCAAGTTTAGAGCTCACCCATGACTGGAAAGGGTTTCTTGGCATTGGCTCCAGAGAACCACTCCATTGTGCAGAAGCACTTGCTGAACCCATAGAGACTGGTTGCTTCATTACTGGTCTCATCGGGGGCTGAGGAGATATTTTGGGAATTGGTGGAACTTTAGGGATGCCCCACTGGGTACCAGAGCTCTCTGAATTTGCAGAGGCTGGCTTAAATGCAGAGAACAGCCAAGACTGCAAAGGGTGTCTGGGAGACACTGACTCTGTAGAAACGTTCCCTTCAACCTGAGGGTTCTCTGCACCTGCAGAGACATTTTCCTGAAATGTAGGGTTCATCCATGGTTGGAAGGGGCGTCTGGCAGACACTGGCTCCTCAGGATTGGCCCATTGTGAAGAAATGTTCACTGAGTCTACAGTCATCTGTGGGTGGAAATGAGGCCTCATCAAATGTTTTCCAGGGGGCAGGTCCATGAATATGCCCTTTTCAACAGCAGTGTCTTCTGAGAATATTGGCTGGACTTGAGGATTTGTTATGGACTGGGGAGAATACTTGGGGTACAGTGGTTCCACAGAAGTAATACCTTCTGAACCCGAGAACATGTTTTGTTGAACTTTAGGGTTTATCAAGGGCTTGGAAAGAAGTATAGTAGGCCCTTCAACAGCTTTACTCTCTGGAAATGAGGAAGTTTGCTGCCCCACTGGAGGGTTCAGCCATGTCTGGAAAGGGTGAGTGGGAGGCCTTAGATCCACAGAAATGCTCCCCTCCACAGCAGTACTCCTCGGACTTGCAGAGACCTGTTGTTGGATTAGGGGTCTCCTCATGGACTGAGAATGAAGTTTTGGAGGCAGTGTCTCCATAGAAACCTCTCCCACAACTGCAGCATTGTCTGCACCCAAAGATAATTGTTTCTCAACTTTTGGTCTCACTGAGGGTTGGGAAGAACACCTGGGCAGCACCTCCATAGAAATAACTTCTTCCCTAGTTGTAATATCTGAATGTAAGGAGAGTTTTTGCTCAACTAGAGACCTCTTTAGTCGCTTAGAAGCCATTCTGGGAGGCAGTGGATCCATAAAAATGCCCCACTCAACTGCACTGTTCTCTGGACCTGTGGGACCTTTTGGCCCAAATTTAGGGCTCACCCATGGCTGGAAAGGACAGCTGGGAGATACTGGCTCCAAAGAACTGCTATATCCTGCAGAAAGGCTCACTGAACTTGAGAACACTTGTTGCTGAACTATCTGAGGAGGGTGCCTGGGGGGCATCTGTTTGACCGAAACTCTCCACTCTTTAGGAGTGTTCTTTGAAACTGAGGACACTTCTCTTTGGTCTTGAGGCTTCCCCAAGGCCTGGTCAGAGTTTCTGAGAGATACATCTTCCTCCAAGCTGCTCCAATCATCAGCACTGTTGCATTTTTCGGCATAACTATTTGATTCTGTGGAGAATTCTGTATCTTCAGGTTCCTGTAAAACCAGCTTCTCCTGAGACCTGGAGGCGGCAGCGAATCTTTTTGATTCTGAGAAGACTGCTTCAAGCTTCCGCAAGGATCGGGAGAAGCGAATGGCGGCCATTTCCTCAGGACCTCTCCCCTCCTCAAGAATACTATCTGATTCTGAGGAGGCATCTTCAGGTTGAGGCTTTCCCAAGAACTTGTGAGAATATTCAGGACCCTGATTCTGTTCCAAACCGCTCATTTCAACAAAACTTTCAGATTCTGGGAAGCCTTCTTGTCCACCTTCAAGCTTCTGTGGGGACTGGAAGGAATGTTCAGGAGCCCGCTGATCCTGAACACTCCCCTCCTCTGAAGCACTATTTGAATCTGAGGACACTTCTTCATCTTCAGGCTTCTCCAAAGACTGGGAAAGGCTTCTGGGAGATAGCCTCTCTGTAGAAAGGCTTCCCTCTGCTACTGTACTTGCCACACCTGGAATAATGACTGTAAAGCCCTGGAGAACATTTCCAGGAGACTTTTCTTTGCAGATAGTTGGAACACCCTGGGCTAACTCCATTTTGGACTGGGAATTTTGCAAACCATGGCTGGAAGCTTCTTCTTCCCCTGACTGGACATGTGAAGGATCCCTAAGCACCTGAGCCTCTACTGCCACTGAAAGAATGTCCTCTTCTTGGGCTTTAGAAAGTCTTCCTACCATTGGTAAAAGAGAAGCTCTGCCATCTTGCTTCTTGGCTCCACAGGCCCCATTTTCATGGTAGAGTGGTGGACCACTCACCATGGATTCTACCATGTCTTTAGGTATGGGTTGTGGTGCTGATGCTTTTTTGGCTTTAACTTCTAGGCCAACGTTCTTCTTTACCAAGTCACCTTTATCTGAAAGCAACTCCTGAGAAGTAGTACTTTCTGCCTGTGGAGTTGTGAACTGCTCCATGGTTTGCTTCTCGAAGGTTAAGTGCCGGAAAGGGCAATCACTAGCAGTCTTCTCCAAATGTGAATAATCATATCTATCACCCAGGATATGCAGTTGACAAGATGGTAGAAGGCATCTTCCTCTGCGCCCATACTCATTTGTTCCCGAAATACTTGAACCTTTCCTTCTACGTCTTCTTCCATATGCTGCCAACATTGGGTAGCCCATGCTCCCAGTAGGATCTGTGTTTGAAGCCTGTTCAGCTATCTTCTGATCATAAATCTCAGTTTTGTTGCTCGGGTCCTGGTTCAAGGTACCTGCACCAAATAGAAATTAGGAAAGGAGAAATGTGTATGCTTTAGACTTCCTAAAACAGGAAATGCTCTGTCCCAGCCCAGTTGGTACCTATTTGCTACTTAATTTGCTAGCATGAAGAAGCACTGTTCAAAAGACAAAGAATAAATGGGTCACAATTAACTTTCTGTGGTTGAAAATGGTTTCAATCAAAGGGAAATTTCAATCGCATGGACTGATTCCAGGTTTAGCTCATCATCATTTAATAATAGTCTGGTCCACCATTAGGTGCACATAAAAAGAGGCAAATTTTGAACTTGTAATAATGATTATCTTTGAAGAAACTGACGGGGGTAGGGGAAAGGGAAATTTTACTTTCTCTTTAGTATTTTTATTTTCTAATCTTTATCTGAACTGCTTGAAATTCCAAATTATGTCCATTTATGCTTTATTTTTTTAGAAAGGTATCATCAGAAATTATCTGAGAGTAAGAATTTTGCCTAGTTTTCTTCTATTTTCTCCTTTCTTATGTTAAAATAATTCTATGTAATATACATGCACAGCAAATGTTTGAATACATGAAAAGCAATACTTGCAACATTTTAATAATTCAATTGGTCCACAGGCTTCAAGTTAAACACAAGGTAACAGTTATACAAATTGCTCCTCTCCTTTCTTAAGGAATTCCTTTTTCTAAGAAACTCGATTTGATCCCCTGGTGGCAGGGCCCCTTGTTGCTTATCCTTCCTCATAATCCACTGCTTCCCTAGTTCGATCTTGTGGTTTTTTATGCAACATACTGCATTGAAAATAGCAGGTTGTGCTCCAAAACACTTCTATCATATGGAACACCAAACAAAATGTCTGTCCCCGGGGGTATTGACTCAGTTCTGTCCTCCTTTTGTAAAAAATCTGAAAAAAATTACTTCCTTCTCTCAGATCTCCCTTCCTCCCTCTATCCATTTCTTCCTTTCTGGATTGATCTTGTGGTTTTGTTTGTTTTCATGGGAAAATATGATTGAGGATATCCTGTCTTTGAACCCATGTGTGAATTTTTTTGTAGCAAAAACATTAAATAACTGTTCAACATAATTTGTGGAACAGGAACTTTGTTTTATCAAATATTGCTTGAAATTAGCTGGCCATTAGCTGGAGCCAATATCCACATTCACATACCCATGAACACACAGAGAGTTTTACTCTGGAGGTATCTATTGGTTGGGAATTTGACAGGTCTTGACTGCCAAGGACATCTGCCTGCAGCTGTACAAGCCCTCTTTGTTCATGGATATGGGAACTGCTTTTGCTATTAACACAAAACCTTTTCTCTGTACTGAAAGGGAAAGGCAACTAAAAAAAATTATTTCAGGCCAATTCTGGGGATTTTTTGTTGTTGTTGTTTTTCTTTTTCTTTCTTTCTTTTTTTTGTACCAGGGATTGAACCCAGGCACTTAACCACAGAGCCACATCCCCAGCCCTTTTTTAAAAAAAATATTTTATTTTTTATTTGTAGATGGACATAATATCTTCATTTTATTTCTATGTAGTGCTGAGGATCGAACCCAGTGCCTCACACATGCTAGGCAAGCACTCTACCACTGAGCCCTTTTTTGTGTTTTATTTAGAGACAGGGTTTCACTGAGTTGCTTAGGGCCTCATTAAGTTGTTGAGGCTGGCTTTGAACCTGCAATCCTCCTGCCACTGGGATTACAGGCGTGCACCACTGTGCCTGACCAATTCTGTTATTTTTATCTGGTTCTATTGTTGAAGGGGAAAGCAGAAGGGTAATCACTAGCTGTATTCACTATACTCTACTCTGATATCTGGGCTCATTGAAGAGCTCCACATATACATTAACCTCAGAGAAAATTAAACAAATTTACACACAAAGCACTTCCCTGGTTGGAAATTCATTTAGATAAAACGAGAACCCAGATATGATCCTTTACCTAATCCCATACAAGTGGCAGCTGTATTAATTTGACAGTTTAGATGGAGAAAACTGGACCACATTAGAACACATTTTAAACTGGAAGCTTTCTGAGGACCAAGGGCACAGTCTCTGGTAATTCTTCTTCATAACTCATGTCACACTGAACTGTGCAATGAAGTCTAGGATACATGTTTCTGGGTGAGGGTGAAGATGAACCAACCTGTACCATCTTTATTCAGCTTCTTTTGATCAATTTCTTTTGGGTTATTTGTACTCTTTTCTCCTTCAGAAATCAGTGAAAGGCTTGTCTCGTCCTGCTTTGGTTTCATCTAAAACATGGAAAGAAAAATATCAAATCTGATTGACATGCTCTCTACCCTTGTATGATTGCTAAAAAAAAAAATCAGGAAAAAGGTCATTGATGCTAGGTTTATAACAGTACCAGTAAAGAAAGAAGTTATTTCTTTATTTAATGACTTTATTTTACTTATTTATTTTGTGTGGTGCTGAGGATCAAACCCAGTGCCTCACACGTGGGAAGCAAGCGCTCCAACACTGAACTACAATCTCAGCCCCGATGGAAGTTAGTTCTAATGACACTCATCAAGAGTTCCCTAGGGATGATTTTACCTATTGAAAGTGAGTGATCCAAATCTGGGGTTCCCAGACTCTAAGTGACATGCTGTAGGAATCTACTGTACCACATTGGAAGGACATAAATCTGAAAATGGAGTTGTTGGACCTTACAACAATCACGCCTTTGACAACATTGGAATTTTCAGATTTGCTCACTGGACCATGAACCAAATTCAAATCCTGTTTGGCTCTTCTTTGGGAAATTTAATGAAACCATGAATGATGTCTTTCCAGCTCAAAAGAAGAAAGAAGAACAGGGTTTGTTAAGAGGGAAGACAGAAATAGATGAAGAATTAAGTTCTTACACTGAATGGGTTGCAATTAGTTTAGTATAAACAAGGTTTGTAGAGAATTATAGTAGGGTTCTAGAAATGCCAGGATAGCATCAAACAGAACAGTGTTCAGATATTGCTTAGAATAAACCATTTATGGCAAGCAACTAAGGCAGAAATACAACTTTTTATCTTCTCATTCATATTTCCTGAGCTCAAAATAATTTATTGTTGAGTAAATGAGATCAGACAGACCTGGGTTCAAATCTCTTCTCCATCATTTACTTGCTGTGTGACCCTGGGCACATTGTTCTATATATCTCCATGTCCACATCTATAAATTAAGAATTAGGACCCCTTATTTCTGAGCAGAGAGAAAGAGGTGGCAGCCCCTGTATCATAAATGATCCTGGAACTTTTTATATTCATTTATGTGTCAGGGAGAGAGTCACAGAGATGAGGCAGATGTCCCAGCTTTCTCTGAGAGTGATGCCCAGACCTTTTCTATGCAGAATGAAGAATGTCAGAAGGGTAACACCAAGGTTCCCTTAGCCAATATTCCCTGACTGCCAAGTCTGTGGTGAGGTGTCCAGGGGGATAACATAAGCATAGGGTTTAAAATTGGTCATCCCTTGCTTGACACCAAACCAAGGAGATTGTCTCTACTGCTATCAGAGGTTCTCCCTTGACCCCACACACCTCCAACTGTTCTTTCAAGTCATATTTTGTTTACTTTCTAAAGCAAAGTTGAAATGTCTAAGCAGAGGCAACATTTGGGGTAAAAAAAAAATCCTGGGCTAGAATTCAGAAAATTGGATTCTGGCTCTGGCTCTATTATCACCTGGGTGTCCATCTTTGGGCCAGTACCTGAACTATTTGTGTTATAATGTCTTTCCCTGTGAAATTCTTGTACTACACAGTCATTTAGTCTTCCAGTTCTGATTTTATAGCCTCTTACTTTTAATCCAGAATCGCAGAAGAATTGGGTATTTGATCAAAGTGAATCTTCCACCCAGCATTGTTAAACACCAACATCTTTAAATTCTTAATTTTGGAGGAAATTTTTTCCAAAACATTCCCAATTTTCTTAAACAGGGATCAAGGAACACAATATAACTCTTCTTGATTACCCAGACAAATAACACACATGATCTATTACATTGGACTATGATAGAGTATATCCCTGAGAGGGAGATTGAAGTAGGAAAGATTCTTTTTTTGTGTGTGTGTAGAGGGGGTGGGTAACCAGGGATTGAATTCAGGGGCACTCGACCACTGAGCCACATCCCCAGCCCTATTTTGTATTTTATTTAGAGTCAGGGTCTCACTGAGTTGCTTAGTGCCTCCTGTTGGCAAGGCTGGCTTTGAACTCGCAATCCTCCTGCTTCAGTCTCCTGAGACGCTGGGATTACAGGTGTGCGCCACTGCGCCCGGCAGGAAAGGTTCTTGATCCCTTATACTAAATGATCTCATATTATTTCTGTCATCTGTTTCTGCTATGAGCTGGCATTTCCCTTTGCTCTCAGATCTGAGTCTGATCTGCAGCCATGATTTTATTGTCGTCGTTGTTGTTCTGTTTTGTTTTTGTGATGCTGGAAACGGAACCCAGGGCCTTATACATGCTAGGCAAACATTCCACCACTAAGCTATACCCAAAGTCTATTTTTTTGTGTAGTCATGTTTTTAACACTAGTTTGCCTAAGTACAGCTCTGTTGCTAGAAAGTTGTGTGGTCAAACTCTGTGATAACTCTGCAGAGGTCTTTAGCAGGGTTAACAGCACTGTTCTTCATACTTGGAGTTTCTCGAGCCTGACTTCCATATAAGTGGAACAGCACTATAATTTTTAACTCTCAAATGGGTCTCATTTGATTAATAAGTAAAAAAATCCTGATCTGGGCTAGGGTTGAATATCCTCTACCAAGCAGACTGAGTGACCTCCCAGATGCTAAGCCAATAAACAGGTTCTGGGGCTTACATCCCTGCTTCTGCTTTTTCAGGCCCTCTTATATAAGATCCAAATGGTCAGGACCCACCATCCAACAGCACAAGCTTGCTCATCCCTCTGGAGGGTCAAGGCCAGGACAGCACTCTTGACTTTGCCATCCCAACACCATACCATTCCTGGGGGCAGTCTGCAAAGATGGAACTCATCTTTTCTTATGCAGGAGTTTATTCCCAGGTCTCTTGGAGGACTTACACTCGCTTGAAGGCTCTTCTTCTTTTTTTGTTTCCTGGGATTTAAAGCCATTTTGTGTCGAGCAGCTGAAGAATCCAGGCAGCCCTGGGTGGTGGCTGGGATGCTAAAGCCAACAGGCTGCTGGGTAACATTGGAAGAAGCACATGCAGTTGAGGACTGTGAGAGACCGGTTCCAGTTGTTGCTTCAGAGTAGTTCTGGAAAGCGTGGGAGAAAATAAATGAGTCAACTTATATGTTGCCACTCGTCTCAAAGTTGGAAATTCTGGCTGAAGAATTCCTCAATTCCTGGCTGAAGAAATTCTCCTTGAACTACTTTCCCTTTTTCTTCCACTTCTGGTCAATAAAGTTCCACAGTTCCACTGGTCACCTTATAGATGAAAGCAAGAAACAGGAAGCAGTTTGGGTTGTTCCCCTGCTTAGAAAGCATTCAGGGGTGCCCCATTGCGCTCAGGAGAGGAACACAAGCACTTAATGGATTTTACAAGATTGGAGGGTTTATATGTTTTCTTGTCTCATATCCCCTGCTTAGGGACAGGAGGACATTTGGCTGGGGTGAGAGGTACAACCTGTCAGTGAAACCCAGCAGGGCTCTGGGAGCTTATATTGGCGGACTGGGTAGTGCAAAGAAAATTAGTTTGGAAGAGGGCCTGCCTGCAAGTTATATTTTCATAGAGACCGTAAGACCTTTATTTATATTATGGCTCATGGGAGCAAGGTTGATCTGAGGACCCTAAGGAACTGAGGGCTCCCACCTCTAATGAGGTAGAGATGGAGCTTGTAACCTTGTCACATTATGGCTAGTCTCCATCTCTCTAAACTATTTGGTTCTGGCACACCTAGATAGTTTCCCTGGTAGGAACTTTACATACTCTCCTCTGGGCTTTTGGATAATATTTTCCCTGCCTCCAAGAGACCCCCAGATCTCCTTCCATTCCTAATAAGCTTCAGATTTCTGTGTTTACAGATACCCCTTTGAAGACCACATGATAAGCTGTCTCTACCCTGGACAAGAATAACAAGTGATATAATTTAGCAGGTAAACAGAAATTTATTTTTTTGTTTTTTTGGTACCAGGGATTGAACCCAGAGGCGCTTAACCACTTGAGTCATTGAGCCACATCCCCAGCCCATTTTATTTTTTTATTTAGAGACAGGGTCTTGCTAAGTTGCTTAGGGCCTCACTAAGTTGCTGAGGCTGGCTTTGAACTTGTGATCCTCCTGCCTCAGCCTCCTGAGCCACTGGGAATACAGGCATGTGCCATCATACCCAGGTAGGCAGAATTTCCATTTGTGTTTACCCACTAAATTCTTTCATACTACCTCTGCACAGCAAACAGGGACCCCTTTGGTATTTTCAGCTTTCAAATGCCTTTAAATTTCCTTCCACCAGTATATGCTGATCCAGCAATAACCTAAGCTTCTATCTAAGTTCCAAGAACGGCTCTTTTTTGGCCTGAGATTCCAGTGTCTGGGACTTAACAGACAGCTAATGGGTCAGGATGATGACAAATGGAGCTCACCAATCTGTTTCTGATTCTGAGAGAAATGGAAAGGAATACTACAGTTGTTTTATGGGACCTATCACACAAATTAAGGATGGTCTCAATCCTTTCTTAATTTCCTTAGGCAACTCATCCATAAATTTATATGACACTACTTCCTGATGTTATCTATTTGTCTTGTGTTATCTCCATCATATTAACTCAGGATCTGACTTTCTTAACAAGAGTCCTAAAGTGCAAGAAGTAAAATCAAGAATCAATAAATAGACGGCATCAAACTAAAAAGCTTCTTCACAGTAAAGGAAACAATCAACATGAAGAAAGACCCTACAGAATGGGAGAAAATCTTTGCCACCTGCACTTCAGATAGAGCATTAATCTCCAGGATATATAAAGAACTCAAAAAACTTAACACCAAAAGCAAAAACAACAACAAATAATAGACACTTCACAGAAGAAATACTATAGGTGTTATGGTTTGAATGTGACGTGTTCCCTAAAAGTTCACATGTGAGATAAACACAAGAAGGTTCAGAGGAGAAGTGAGTGGGTTGTGAAAATCTTAACCCAATCAGTGAATTAATCCTCTGATAGGGATTAACTGAGTGGTAAATGAAGTGGTAGAGTGTTTCTGGAGGAGGTGGGCTTTGGAGGTGTGGCTTTGGGGTATATATTTGTATCTGGCAAGTGGAGACCTCTCTCTGCTTTCTGATCATCATGTGAGCTGCTTTCCTCCGCCACACTCTTCCTCTGTGATGTTCAGGCTCACCTTGAGCCCTAAGGAATGGAGCTGACTATCTATGGACACAGACCACTGAAACCATGAGCCCTCAAATAAACTGTTCCTCCTCTATCATTGTTCTGGTCAGGTCTTATTCACAACAGTGAAAAAGCTGACTAAAACAACTAGTCAACAAATATGTGAAAAAAAATGTTCACCATCTCTAGCAATTAGAAAAATGCAAATTAAAACTACACTGACATTTCATGTCACTCCAGTCAGAATGGCAATAATCAACAATACAAATAACAATAAATGTTGGTGAGGATGTGGGGAAATGGGTACACTCATACATTGCTGGTGGGACTACAAAATGGTACCACCACTATGAAAAGCAGTATGGAGATTCCTCAGAAAACTTGGAATGGAACCACTATTTGACCCAGCTACTCCACTCCTTGGTAGGACTTAAAATCAGCATACTACAGTGACAAAACCACATCAATGTTTATAGCAGCTCAATTTACAACAGCCAACCTATGGAACCAACCTAGGTGTCCTTCAATAGATGAATGGATAAAGAAAATGTGGTTTATAGAATATACTCAGCCATAAAAAAGAATGACTTCATGACTTTTGCAGGAAAATAGATGGATCTGGAGACTTTCAACAGAGGTTGAATGTTCTCTTTGATATGTGGATGCTAACATACAACAAGTGATGGGGGGGAAGAATAGAAGTTCAGTGGATTAGACAGAGGAGAATGAAGGGAAGGGAGGGGGATATGAAATAGGAAAGACAATAAAATGAATCACAAATAACTTTCTTATGTTCATATATGAATACACGACCAGTGAAACTCCACATGGTGTTCAACCACAAGACTGGGATCCTAATTAGAATAAGACGTACTCCATGTTTAATATATCAATATATACTCTCCTGACATATATATCTAAAAAGAACAAATTTAAGAAACTTCTTGTACAACATTTTAAAAAAAAGAAGAAGAAGAAGTAGTACAGGAAGTTCCTAATCCCACCAAATGTCTTAGAATAGGAGCCAGAAATGCATGGATTTCCTCCGGGAAGTAGAGCTCCTTATTAGGCTCTTTCTTCTCCCTCAGCCCTACTGGTTAGGAGTAACCTAGAAAAGTGAACACAGGAGCCAACCACAGGATTTTATAGTTACCAGAGAAAGCAAACTGAACTTTTCCTGGAAAGACTAAAAATTGAGTAGGGGAAATGGAACTCCTTTCTCTACCTCTCCTTCCCCAACCTCTGCAACCCTAACTCTGACAGCCAACATGTCCTCTCTGTACCAAATGTGCATATTATTAAGGAAGACTGAGAAATTTTCAGTTCTCCTGTGTTTTAGAAGGGGTTTATCACAGACATCTTCTAATTAACATCTGGATTTAATAAGTTCCTTTTGCCTCAACATCTGCCCCAATCAGTGCCAGGCCTGGCCCTACTAACCCAGGAAACATGGTTGGACCTTGGACCAGAAGAAGAGATCCTTTGGCATTGATTGATAGGTGGCCATACACTCCTTTGCTGTTAGCTGGGGTAAGGACACATCTTTGGAAAATTAAAACACATTTTGGCTTCATGTTCTCCTTCTGTCAAGTATCTAGACCCAGCACAAAGTAGTTCAGTCAATTTACCCTTTGGTCATCCTTTTAATATCTTCCTTTTCTATGGCATGATGCTGTTTCCCCACTTCCTTTCCTGTTGATAAGGAAACACTTGAGGAAAGAGACAGAGCAGGACAGTTATCTTATTGGACAAAGGAAGATGTTATTTGTGAGCATCACCCGGAGGCTATGTAGGCCCAGGTTTCATCAAATAGTTGGTGGAAATGCTGCTGCTCTGGGGTCAGATACACTCTGAAACTATCTGGGAAGATGTCAGCCTGGAATGCCAGGAAGCTGCATTCAGTCAAAAGCTGGAAAGGCATGTAGTCTCGGGAAATCTCCAGCAGAAGCATCTCTTGGTGGGAAAAGTTGTTCTTGGGGGGAGGCTTCTGTGCCAGGAAGTACTGGCACAGGGCGTGAGATCTCATATTGGCTGTTGAGATTTTAATTCTCTAAGTGTATCAAAGTGGCTTATGTGGCCATTCCTGAGAGTGCTTCTGCAGCTGTTACTTTCCTCAAAAACCTCATCACATAAAAGCTGTTGTGGCCAACATTTTTGTCAATTTGAACGTTCCAGGAGTGGAATTTCAGATATTCCCTGCAGCCCCCCCTCCCATCATCCCTTCTGAAATTTGCAATGTCTTAACTTTTATAGAAAAAAAGAATGTGGGTTTGGAGGACTTGGGGCATAGCTCAGGGATAGAGCATGTGCTTAGCATGCATGAGGCCCTGGGTTCAATCCTTAGCACTGCACACACACGCACACGTGCACACACACACACACACACACACACACACACAAGTACATGGACTTTGGAATTGAGTCTGAGGTCCTAGCCACACCATAGATTGGCTCTCTGAAGAAGTTCCCCAACTTCTTTGAGTCTCAGTTTCTATGTCTGTAAAATGGGGATAATAGTAATATATACTTTGGTGTGTTGTTTCAAGTATTAAATAAAATGATACATGGAAAGTACTTACCACAGTGCCTTTTATATAAAAAGTCTCAATAAATGTTAGCTGTTATTAAATGTTACAGTTTAAGTAGCTGTCAATCATTCCATTGTTTTAGCTAATAAACAGTGCTATTTCTAGGTCTGGGGATGTGGCTCAAGTGGTAGCGCAGTCGCCTGGCATGCGTCCGGTTTGAACCTCAGCACCACATACAAACAAAGATGTTGTGTCCACCGAAACTAAAAAATAAATACTAAAAAAAAAAGAGTGCTATTTCTATTGATAAGCATTCGTTGTTCATATTTACATAATTTGTAGGAATCACATGGTTCAGTGAAAAGCATTCGGGATTGGGGCAGGAATTCTGGGTTCAAGTCTCAACTCTTTCTCCCCACCTCCCCTGGTACCAATTGGACCTGTGGTCTTGACCAAGACATTTCATCTCTCTGAACTTCAGGGTTTTAAAAAATCTAAATTGAGTATAATAGTATCTTTCCTATCCACCTTACAGAGCTATTGAAAGAATCAAATGTACCTCTATGTGCAAAATCATTTTGTAAACTGCAACTTTCTGTGGGATACTTGGGAGAGATCATTTTGCTCTCCTTTGATACATGAGAAGATTAAAAAAAAAAAGATGCCCTGATCTTCAGAGATTTTTTTTTGTAAAGAAAAATAAAAATATATTTTGGATGAAGCCATCAGAGGTAACTCAAGAGACATAATAAGAAGGAAGCAACCTTAGGGAAATATAACATAATTGTCATTAGCTGTTATACTTTAGTTATGGAATACCCTCCAATATGTCATATGTTGAAGTCTCAGAACCCAGCTGTCAGCACTACCAGGAGGTGGTAGGTACTTTGGGAGTTAGGGTCTAGTTGGAAGAGGTAGGTCACTGGGGTGTGCCTTCAAAGGGTGTATTTTGTTTCTGGATCTTTTATATTTCTCTCTCTGCTTCTTGGCTGCCATAGGTGAGCAGCTTTGTTCTGCCACACCATCCTCACTGTGATGTTCTGCCTTAGCACAAGCCCACAGTGAAGGGGCCAAGCAACCATGAACTGAAACCTCCAAAACCGTGAGCCAAAATCAATCTTTGCTCCCTTTAATTGTTCTTCTCAGGTATTTTGTCACAGCAATGAAAAGCTGACTAACACATTTACCAATACAATAGAAACAGCACTGAGAATCCAGATATAAACCCATTCATCTATAAGCAATCGATTTTCAACAAAGGTGGCAAGAAATTCAGTGGGAAAAGAAGAATCTTTTTAACAATGGTGCTGGGAAAACTGTGCCTTATTTCACACCATGCAAAAATTAAGTAAAAATGGACCAAAGGCCTATATAAGACCTAAAACTATAAAACTCTTATTTACATAGGAGTAAATCTTCATGATCTTAGATTACATAATTAGATGTGACACTAAAAAAAATGAATATCAAAAGAACTAATGGACAAAACTAAACGTCATCAAAAATACATTAAAGTTGTTCATCAATCTGGGCATGGTGGAGCACAGTTCAGGGGGTGAGGCAGGAGGATTGCAATTTCAGAACCAATATTGGCAACTTAGAAAAAGGAATCTTTATACACTGTTGATGAGAATGTAAATTATTACAGCCACTATTGAAAATAGTATAGGGGTTCCTCAAAAAACTAAAAGTAGTACTTTCATATGATCAACCACTCCTAGTTATATACCTGAGGAAAATGAAGTCATCACACAAAAGAGACACCCAGTTTATTATGTTATTGCAGCACTATTCATAATAGCCAAGATAAGGAATCAGCGTAGATGAATGGATAAAGAAAATATGGTGTACATATACACAACAGCATATTATGCAACCATAAAGAAGAACGAAATTTTGTCTTTTGCAGGAAAATGTGTGGAACTGGAAGACATGATGTTAAGCAAAATGAGTCAGACTCAGAAAGACAAGTATTGCATATTTTTTCTCATATGTAGAAACAAAAAGATGATCTGAAAGTAGAAAAGAAACTATTAGGAACTAGAAGGGGCTGATGGGAATGGGAAAAGGGAGAGAAAGGGTAGAAATGATGTAGAACAACAGAGAAGGGAAGGTGGACAGGATCAATTCACGATAATACATGCATAGAAATGTCACAGTGAAACTCATTAATTTGTACAATTAATATGTGTTAATAAAAATGGTAAAAAGAAGGTTAAAATGGTAAATTTTAACACAATAAAAATGTTTCCAATGATTTAAAAAAATGTTATCTAATTCAGTCCTTCCACTTGAATTTCAGACTGTCCATCTTAACTCATCAATAGGGGCACTCTTCGTATATTCATAAGCTAACTCCATAAATCAATGAGTATTCATCTGCTGACTACCAGTCTGTGCTTTAACTTTGGTCCAATACCTTTTATTTATTTATTTATTTAATGTGATGCTAAGGATTGAACCCAATGCCTTACACGTACTAGGCAAGCATTCTACCACTGAGCTACAGCCCCAACCCCTAATCTATGTTTTTGACATATATAACTGAAGGCTGCTTCTCTTCACAGGATCATTTAACTTTGATATGAGTTTTATTCCAATCGGTCAATTATCTTTATTATAAATTATGTTTTGGTTTACTTTGTAGTTTGTTTACAAACTTAAGTGTTCTAAACACTACATCACTTCAAAAGCCCTTCCAAGTTCCACAACCAATTAAATTAAATACACATTAATTTGAGAATGAAAGAAATGATATGGGCAGAATCTATTAATTTTCCAGTTGTTGATAGATATTATTTGGTTGACAAACCTAAACATAAGAAATGCATATACCCATGCTATTTCATGTTTCAGTTGATTTTTCATATGGATATGTGTCTATCTAACAATACTACATACCCTAACCTTTGAGGTTTTGTGTGGTTTTTTGGGGGGGCGAGGGGTTGCAAGTGTATAGGCTTTGCTTCCCTTAACCATATATACTTTTTTAAGTATGAATTTTTTTATTTTTTAGTTGTAGTTGAACACAATATTTTATTTATTTATTTATTTATTTGTTTGTTTGTTTGTTTGTTTATTTATTTATTTATTTATATGTGGTGCTGAGGATTGAACCCAGGGCCTCACACATGCTAAGTAAGTGCTCTACCACTGAGCCACAACCCCAGCCCCACCATCTCTATTTTTATTTTGATAAAATAACCAAGAACATCTATAAACTATTTTTTCTGACATACTGTCTTGTGTTGCTTATGAATTAAAATGGTGGTGATTATTTGGTTTATAGAATTGGATGGAAAGTGTAAACCACCATGCAAATCAAAAGTTCAGAATGACAGCTCCATCTCCAAACTATCACTCTGACTTCCCTCCTCGTGTTTAGCTACAGCAGGAAAAATTGAACACAAGAAGAAATTATGTCTCTGATGGGTTACCAACCCCATAATGCCCCCTTCAGGAGGGGCCTAATACCTTCTTTGCTGCCAAGATCTTGTGTGATGAAGCCTTCATTTGTGGGTTCATAGGTAGCTCATCATCACCAGACATTTCTTCCAAGTCCTTAGAAATTGTGCCAGAACGGATAAGAGGTGGGCTGATGCTGGGCTGGCGCGGGCGCAGTGGTGGGATCTGACAAAGGGGGGGATAGAAGGGAAAAGTTGGAATGTGTACTTTCCCCTAAGATATTGGTATTTTCTTGTTCCTTAATTGCTGAAGGACTAAGAAGCCAAAAAAAAAAAATGGAAAAAATAGATAGACCCAGGAAACAATCTCCTACCTCTCTGACCTCACTTCTAAGACCAACTTAAATTAAAGGCTAAGAGCCTTGGTTTATCCTCTGGATTGCTGCACACATTTGACAAACCCCAAACAGAAACTTCACATTGCTTGTTTGATCAAAACTGAATTCTGATGTTATCGCATTACTGATGTGAACTACAAATCTTTCTTGATCCTGATCTTTGTTTGAACTTCAGCCATGCCTTTGGAAGCTCAATTCTTATGGAAGTGACTCTTTGGGTTATGATCTGGGATTGGCATCCAAACTACTATCCTTGCTCTTGTTATTCTAGGAATTGTCTAGACTACATCTTGGTTATTTGTTCCTTATCTTATCTCTGTCCAGATTGAGTTTTCTGGGATTTTTTTAAAAAAGAAAATCTATAGACCTAGGGCTAGAGGAGTCACTCATTAGTAGAGTAGTTGCCTAGTATGAGTGAGGCCCTGGGTTCAATCCTCATCAATCCTCAGGAGAGAGAGGGGGTGGGGAGAGAGAGAGAGAGAGAGAGAGAGAGAGAGAGAGAGAGAGAGAGAGAGAGAGAGAGAGAGAGGGAAGGAGGGAGGGAGGGAGAAGAGGGAGAAAAAGAGGAATGAAAGAAACAGAAAGGAAAGAAAATCTACAGATCTAGTTCTGGTTTTCTAAGGGAATAAAAATTTGTCATTTGAATTTTCTTTGTGTTTTGGCAGACTAACTTAGTTAATCCCAGTTTGAAGATGATGGGACACTTGACTTCAAGGCACTGTTTTTTTTCCTGGGTCCTCTTGATGTGGTTTAGAATCCATGATTTTATTTTAAACAAGTGCTGTTTAAGCATCTACAATGTGTTACGCCCAATGCTAGGAGCTGGACCTACAACAACAAACAAAGCAAGATTCTTTCTTTTATGAAGTTAACATGCTTTTTTCTGTTGTAGGCTCTGCCAGGCTCAGGATGCATAACCTTCAGACACTGTAGCTAAAGAAAAATGGCAACAGGGGAGGCTTGCCAAAGTTTTGCCTCTGAGTTTCTTTAGATCAGGGTCTCCAGTGCACCCTTATTACTACCAAGTTCTATTGGGGGCTCTTGAGAAGAGGCCAAATCAACCATCTCCAAACCCAGTACCAATAATAATAATTATAAATAATGACAAATAACTTTTACTAATCGGTTACAATGTGCTTATCTGGGAAAGCTCTCCATATATGTATGTCTTAAAGTTTCACAATTATTTGAGGTATTTGCTAGTCTGGTCTCCATTTTATATATGAAGATAACAAACATTGAGAGATGATGTAATTGGCCCAAATTCTCTCAGTGGCAGGGCACACATTTGAAAGGTCTGTCCAGCTTAAGAGCCTGCGTTCTTAACCACTCTAGTCTTTGTGCACACTAGTGTGTGACCTATAAGAGCTGGGAAGGGGAGATCCCATACAGAAGGCCAAGTTAAAAAGAATCAACCAGAACAGATGGTGTGCCTGCCTCCTTAAGAAGAGCCACAGAGGGCAAATTGGGCCTGAGAATAATAAGCAACTCTGCTTTGTAGTCTTGGTTTCTTAAATAACTGAATTCAATTTGATTACATAGCAGAAAGATACTATTAATATGCTGTCACATCTTCTTAACCATGTGTGCTCAAATAAAGAGAACAGAAAATGCCTTAGAGAATAATCTATGAATCCATATTCCTAACACTTCAGAGAAGGCATCAGGTAAATATCTGGCAGGGAATAAAATTGTCTCAGTCTTGGTATTTCTGACTCAACTACAAACCTAAATTTCCTCTCTCAGAAGCCTCTAATTGCAATCAGGTGTGGTGGCACATACCTGTAATCCCAGCCGCTCAGGAGATTGAGGCAGGAGGATTGTGAGTTCAAAGCCAGCCTCAGCAATTTATCAAGGTCCCAAGCAAATCAGTGAGATCCTGTCTCTAAATAAAATATGAAAATGGCTAGGAAAGCCTGGGGTTGTGGCTCAGTGGTAGAGTGCTTGCCTAGCATGTGTGAGGCACTGGGCTCAATTTTCAGCATTACATAAACAATAAAATAAAAGTCCACTGGTAATTTTAAAAATTTTAGAAAAAAAGACTAGAAATATGGCTCAATGTTTAAGTACCCCTGGGCTCAATCCTTGGTACCAAAAAAAAAAGCCTCTAGTTACTCAAAATGTCATCTATAATTCATTATGGGGAAGGCCCCTTCAAGGGACTCAGCCACTGGCCAATTCCCTACTTGCCCCAGCTTCTATGTAGCACTGGGTGTCAGAAACCTTGGCTTAATGCTATCAACTACCCTGCATTTAGAGTTGTCGCATTGGCACTTAACTGGAAGTTTCCCATGTAGAGGTCAATATAATTGTTGATGGCTCAGGATTTATTGACATCCTCTGCTGTCTTCAGTCCTGTTTACCAGCGGAAAGCCTAAGGGAACAGGCCAAGGTCCTAAACATTGGCCCAAACCAAACATTAAAGAAAACCTGCCTTTGGGCTACTGTGACTATAGTTTCCCCCACCCACTTCACGGTGAGAAGCAATGCCCCTAGAATCTTTGTTCCTTAACTTTCACACACACAAAAAAATCACTCTTTGAAAAAAATGGAATATCTCTGTTGTGTGGGACTCTCAGTTTCTGGGATTAAGAAAGGAGGCGGAAACTGGGTGCAGTGGCTTATACTTGTAATCCCAGAAGCACAAGAGGCTGAGGCAGGAGGATCATGAGTTCAAAGCCAGCCTCAGCAACAGTGAAGCACTAAGCAACTCAGTGAGACCCTGTCTCTAAATAAAATACAAAATAGGGCTGGGGATGTGGCTCAGTGGTGGAGTGCCCAGAGTTCAATGGCTGGCGCGGGCGCAGTGGTGGGATCTGACAAAGGGGGGGATAGAAGGGAAAAGTTGGAATGTGTACTTTCCCCTAAGATATTGGTATTTTCTT